AAGGAGCAATAGGTGAGCACGTCGCGGGAGAAAGACGACGACAGACCACAGTTAAATGCATCGGAGATATACATGCGCGTACACATACATCATGTAATACATGTGCACACGTGCACACACAATTGCACGATCCAGCACGAGACCAACCGAGGACCGCCGACATCGGATGGTGGACGCTGGATGCGACTGCGGCGAAGCTGCGCGATGTGCGCCGGCTCGACGCAGCTTCCTCTTACTCTACAATGGGAGCAAAACGACCAGTGTTCCCAGTGGCGCCGGCAAAAGGGGTAATAAAGATTCTCCGCGGCTCCATCCTCGGCGGCTCGACCTTTTGTTCGAGTCGATAAGGAGACCTCGCCTTTCTCTCCAGTAGGTAAGCGACGAGGAAAGGAGGTCTTTTCTATTCGCGCGTGCTCTTCTTGCCGAGCCGAAACGTTAAATTATCCTTATACTAGGATAATTTCGTTTACCGAATTAATTAAAAAAATGCCGTGTTTAATTTATCTTTTACGATAACTTCAACGCGAGATAGAGTCTGGCAATTGTTGATGATTTTTAATTTTGCTTTAAGACTGCTTTGAAATATATTTAATGCTATTTATAACATTGCGAAGAAATCAGTGTTGATATTACCCAAAACCGATCAAGAATATCGAAATTTGTACAATACTTTTATCTGTTCTCTTGAATAAACATAAATAAACAGGTAGTAATGCAACAAGTCACATGTATGAGATTATCTCAATTTATATGTTTAAAAGAAAATTCATTCAGTAAATATAATTTTAATCAAGTTTTCATTCATGTGACTATGATTTGTGTATATGATTTGTCAAATTCTTCAGATACAAATATCGATGTTACTTACTTGGTATATCTTTACTTGGACCACTACTGAGATCGCTCATGGAACTACGAACGGAACTCCTCGCCGTTTCCTGCGTCGGTGATTTCATTTCTTGCCAGCCACGCATTCTCCTAAGATTGGAATATTATATATAATTTTTATAATAAAAAATGATAACGCAATTTTCACACAAGACATTTCGTGTATCTATAAATATAACATATTTGCATTACTTATATTAATTTAATTTAGCGCTCACCGCTTGTCTTTATTATTATTGTTGTTCGCATCGCCGGCTTTCTTTAACGTTGGTCTTGCGGAAGGTGATAAAGTGAGATTTTGTAATACTCGCGATTTTACTTCTTTCCTAGCGCACCTCGTTCTCTGCTCATTTTTACCAGCTTCTATTTTATTCATCACGGCATCCCAGCGCCCACCCTTTCTAGTTGATCTTTGAGAACGTCGCGCTTCTTTTTCCGCATCATCTTTCGAAGACGACTCGATCATTGCTTTGATCTTCGAGACAACGTTTCTTTTCGGCATTTTATATTTTTTTAAAGGCACTGTATCGGCCTTATTCTGTGGTTTAGACCTGATGTTTTCGTTCTTCTCAACTTTTTCAATAATGGTAGTTCCGGTAGAGGTCGTCGTATCATTCACTTTGTTTGTTTCATCCGATGTATTTACAGGATTCTAAAAAAACGAAGTAATTTACGTACATTGAATAAAATTCTCTTACAATAACTGCCTGCGACGCGCGTTCACTTTAACGTACTTGCAAATAATCCATAATAACGTTCGCCGCGATGGGCGAGGGTTGACTTCTTTGGGAAAGCTCGGTATCTCCGGTATCGGGGGTATGATCATCGTTCTCTTCCGGTGCTTGCTCACCAGGCGCTTGTAACTTGTCCAAGTCCGAGTAAATTCCACTCGAGTCCATCTCCTCCCCGGTGAAGCTGGGACATACACGTTCGCCCGGTGCGCAGAACAGCGTGCCATCGATCACTTGTGCCTTCCTGTCGCCCCGCACAATCTCTTCGTGCGCGTCGGCATCGCTTTCGGTAAAAAAATCCGAGTCGGTCATCGGATCCTGGCGACAGGGTGCGGGAAGGTTGACCGGCGGTACCGCCATGGATGGTGGATCCGCGCCGCGGCTAGCCGGTCTCGAATTTTCGCCGTCTCCCTGGTAGCCCGCTTCGAGACTAGTAATGCTCGTGACTGATGTGACAAAGCTCACCGGCACGGCGTTACCTCTGATCGGTTCCACGGGTTTAGGATCGAGTGGCAATTCTTCGAGTGGCGAGGGTGTTCTCTCGGTACAACCCTCCTCCGCGGGTTCCACGTCTATCAGTGGCCTCGTCGAACCGGACGCTCGGGTCAATGCCAATTTCGAGCCGGCCGATCCAGTGAGATTCTCGCAGGATGGTGTCCTGGAGCATTCCAGTGCCACTGTGAAATCGGTCATCTGGTCCGGCGTCAATATACCGAGACTCTCGTCGTGCTCGAAGGAGTTCTGTTTGTTTAGCATCAAATAATGCGGCGTTGCACTCGCATCACTATAACTACCTAGGCTCGAGTCTACAAGAAATGCCTTATCCTCGATCATGCTCAGCTGAGAATCTTCCAGTAGCCTATTGTATCGAAAGAAAAGTATAAGACACCCGTAAATCTTATGTTGAATATGTGTATATGTTTGTACCTGAACAAGCTACTTTTCTCCTCGCTGAGATGTACCAATTGTTGCACATCGTTCTTGTCGATGTCCCATGCGGGTGATAACGAGAATGTCTGATCTGTCGTCGAATCAGCTGGAACACGAAATTGCACGCATGTTAGCGTATCAAGCATACCTACGCGTAATTATAAACGTGAACGTGTGCGCGTGCAAATTACCTTTGATATTGGGCGTAGACGTTGCGAATTCCGAGAACTTGTCCCGCGTAGTAGGGGATTCGTCCTCACTGTTAAACTGAAAGCATCCCGAGAAGATCGTTGAACGGCGACTTCCCGTCAGGAGCCTCGACGCCTCGAGTACTCTCGATTTCGGGAAGAACGACGGCCGCGCTGCCCGTGGAACAGGTATCCGACTCTCCCCTACGTTCTGTGAACAAGAGATCACTAGGTGCGATTTCTATTGAATGGAATCACACGAAGATCAACCTGATGGAAATGATGAAAAAATAAGTTTCTCTCTAGTTACAATTAATTACCGCTTAATTGTGTACCGCGAGTGGTTGTTCGACGATTTTGTGTATATGTATATATAAATAATATTTATACACACATATATTTATATATCATACACACACACACACACACACACACACACACACACACACACACACAT